TATGATGTACTCTTCAATATTCACGAAATAATTCAGAATTCTCCACAAAGAATATATCAGAGAAGCTCTCATTCTGTCATCGACCGCGCTAAATCGACATATAACCCGGTATCAAGTTTGATTTCACAACTCGCCGGGAGTGACGACGTTAAGAGCAAACGCAGAGTTCGTTTCGCCTTTCTGACCGATCGCACGCGCCAAATATTGACCAACATCGCTGGCCGTGCACGTTTTAATGCCGAATTCGAAGGACGTGCTGCCGTCCGAGCTGAAGTGATATCTGCTGCTCGTCTCGGGGATCGCCTTACCATCTTTCAACCAAGTCACTGAAAAATTTATGACTTATTGTTAGCAACAATTTAGCAGTTTAACGGAGAATAAAGAAAAAGAAAATTATTAAAAAATTACTTTAATTATTGAATTGCTATTAAAATTCTTACTCTATTACATATTTACTTAAAATATAATACTATTATAAAAATTTAGTACCTTTCAAAGGCGCGGTATCAGTCTTGCACGTGAAAGTAACCGACTCGCCTTCACTCACTGTTGCAGATTGTGGGAATGTCGCGAACGCTGGGCTTTTCGGCTCTTCGTTTAAAGCTGGAAAAAATTAAAATTAAAATGCAGTTTGTCAAATGCAAATTTTTTTATTAAACGATTAATAATCATTAATAATTTCTTACCGAGTACGCTTAACGTGCACGACGAGTAGCTCTCTCCTGCGTCGTTGAAAGCTTCGCACGTGTAAGTACCGGAGTCCTCGGGGAATATCTCGGCGATGATTAGCTTGTAGATGTTAGCCTCACTAGTATATTGAAAGTCCTTGCTAGGCTTGATCTCTTTGTTATTATGCAGCCACACCACATCAAACTTCTTCGCACCGATTATTCGGCAGCTAAGTGTCACAGCCTCACCATCTTTTACATACTTGCTCGTTAAGTGATCGACGATCTTCGGCGATTTATCGTCGCTCTGTTTCTTTCTGGCGGCGTTCTCCACAGCTGAAAAGAGAAGTTGGACTAAACGACATGTCTTTCATAATTATTGTCTGTAATAAAATATAAATAAGATTATAAAAATAGTAAAAATTAAAACAAACAAAATTAAATCTCCATATAAGCAGATTGAATAAAACTATATTTGTGAATTAATATTTTTAGATTAACGGTTGATATTGTTGATAACGATGCGGGTTACTCTTACGTTTTACAGTCAGTTTGCAGGATGTCGTGTCGCTGCCGATGCTATTAGTCGCAAGACACGCGTATTCGCCTTCGTCCTCAGGGAATACCTCGTTGATCGTGAGAGTGGCCACCCCGTTCTTGTATTTGAGATCGACAATCTCTGACGAACTCAGCGTCTATAAGAAAATTTTATTACACACATAATCGCTAATAGAAATATATCTTTCACGCGTGATTTTAATGCATTTTCTGAAAATAATTATCATCATCCTTTTCTTACTATACTCATTAAATTACACGACAATTCTATACATCAATTTAATTCAAAGGTGCATATTAAATTTTAATGATAACAAGTAGATTTCAAACTTATGTATCTACCTTGCCGTCTTTACTCCAAGTAATTTGCGGCTCCGGATCGCCGTCGACTTTAGCTGTGAGTTCCAGATGTTCGCCATCGTTGATCGTGAGATTCTTTAACTTTTGAGTAAATTGCGGCTGTCTCATCGAATCGTCTGAGGGTACTTCAACATATACATTAAGATTAAATAAATTTTATATTAAATAGTCTAGCTATTCAGATCTATTAAAATAATATTCTTACGGATAAGTTCTTTTGTGGTGCTTCTGGATCGAGACGGACTGCCAGTAGTGTCGAGTTTCGAGCCGTATTTCTTTATGCTTCGTTTATCAGATGATTCGTTTATTTTGACACTGGAGCTATCCTACAATTGTACAAAAAAAATGTATAAGTAATAATATTTTAAACAATATTAAGAATATTTATTTTAGACCGCATATGTGAGAAATACGACGAAATGAGCGTATGCAAGACGTCGCGGCTTGTCTTGCGGTAACAAACGTTGTGTAATTTGCACTTTGTAAGGGAAAAGATGCAAGTCGTCCTTCAAAATGCGCCGCAATGTCGTTGCAGACAAGCCCAACTGCAATGCACGGCGTCGATACG